GAGCATCCTTCATTGACTGTCTATTTTGGAAAGTTGTTTTTTATGATGTATTGGGACACCTCCTAAGATAACCAGCTTTTTCATGATGGCTTCTGAGATCAAGGAGCAGATTCTTGTCAATGTTTGGATACAGTTGGATGCCATATTGAAACAAGATGGCGGACTAATCTTTCCAAAACTGCACTAATGTTAGCCGCATTTTGCATGATGCCACCTAATTTGAGAGGTTCTGTCAGGGACTGGGCAGAGGAGGAATGGTGGAGACTGCCTCCCCAGCCTGACCCTTCAAGAGAAGAAGAAGACAGTTCAGAATTACAACAGGGGTTTGAGGGAGGTCACAGCTCAGAGGAAGATGAGAGGGGAAGTTGGGAAATAATGGAAGAGGAGGAGGAGAGAGAGCCAGAGCAGCATTCCACACCCACCATCTCCCAGAACCCGGTGAGCCTTAAAGTAGGAGAGCAAAGAGCTCAAAAACAGATGGCCCTAAGCAGCAACTGTAGGGGTGGAGGTGCTGTTGATGAATGAGGAAGTGGGAGAGAAGTGGGGGTGGAGATTTACTCAAGACAATGCCATTATTTCAAGAGGCTGCATTCCCAAGCCTCTCTCTGTAAATATTGAATAAAAAGCAGATGGTAAGGACTTTTCCTTGTCTTATCCATTACTGACAACCTGCCATGGGGGTTGGTTCCTCTGCCTCCTGACAGGTTCCACTTTTAAGCTCCCTTCTTTCTAATACGTTTTTTGTCAACATTATTTATCTCTTTATTTTATTTCTATACCACCTTTCATCTGGGGGTCATAGTTTACAGTATAAAAATACACAAATATATACCAAAGTAACAAACAAAAACCCCAACAGTTTAAAAGGCCATAGATTGTTTAATTAGCCAAAGATCTGGGAGAAGAAGAATGATTCTGCATGGTACCTAAAGATATGCCACAATGGAGCCAGACAAACCTCTCTAGGAAGAGTATTCCACAAACAGGGACCCACCGCAGAAAAGGCCCATTCATGTGTTGCCACAATCAAGACATATTGCTGAGGAGGCACACAAAGAAGGGCCTCTGGTGATTGTAAGGTCTAGGTCGGTTCATGTGGGGAGAGGAGGTTCTTGAGCTGTTTAAGGCTTTGCAAACAAGTCACAGCCCACTACCATCAGTTCTGTCACCTCAATCAGACAGACTGCAAAAGGCCCTGCACTACTCGGAAAAGCTCTGCTGGGCAGCACAATGAGGATGCTACGGAGGCAGCAGAGTATGTATTTGTTGCTACCTTCAGAGCCTCACCAGTGTTTGGTTTCATTTATACAGAAGGACAACAGCACAGCCAGATGTCTGGAATGTGCTCTGTGGATAACTTTTTATGATTTCTCCTCAAAATCATACTTGGTTTGAAGAAGAGAATGCTTTCGACATGGGATAGTTCAGTTGTTTAAAATTCCTCTAGGTGACAAGTATTTGAAAGATGGTAACGCAATAGGCCTTAGCTGACAATGTGGCTTGTGCCTGGGTTAGCAATAAAATATCTTACTTTTCCACTTCCAAAACAGTATAACTGTAGTCCTCTTGCATGGAGAATGCATTTAACTTTCTTCCCCAAAGAGCATTATGTTGTTGATATTATATGTTATAATATATATGCGCAATACACTGACCTTCATTCTGGAGATACTTCCAAAAGGTGCTTGAAGAGGTTAAGTGGTTGGCTAGACATCCAGAGCAGAGAGAGGGAAAGGCCTTTGGGAGCTGACTGCTTAAATCTACTCAGATGTTTAAATTTGATTCCTACCTCCCCAAAGTTGCAGAGGAATCTGAACAATTTTGAGAAACCCTGAACCCAGTGGAGTTTACACAAACATTCTTAACATGGAAGTGTCACTACAAGGTGAAATATTCTTGTGATCTCTTCATGATTACCTCTTGAGTCATTTTGCTTAGAAGTCTGACCTGCACATAACTAACCTAGGCCAACTACAAAGGTGAGGGTTAGGCACTGCCGTTCTGACTAATGGCCTTGTATAAGCAATGCCTCCTTAGCTCTAAACCCTTGGAACAGTATTCCATTCATGGAAAGTATTGATGCAGTAAACCTGAAGACACACCTCTCTTCTCTGGTGTTTGGAACCACAGGGTGTGTGTTTTTAGGATCAATGCTTCCTTTTTTACTGTAATCATTTTTAAAAGATTAGGTGGTATTGAATGCACTTGTTTAATCAAAGTAGTTCCCCTCCCTCTCTTCTCCCTGTGCACCCCTGTGTAACTCCTAAATCTGTTTTGAGGGAACACGTCACATGTGTGGAGTGGGGGGGAAGCTCAATTGTGCAAATAGATAGTCTTGTTTAAAGAGAACAAATGCTTTGGATAATGCCTACTGTTATTAATTTGAAGTTCACTGTTGGTAAACTAATTCCACTATAAGACCCAGCCTTTGATTTCCTACCACAAGGTAGCATTGCAATAGATGTGTTGAGTCAGCAGATAAGCTGATTAGTCAGTGGATTTGTTGAGAATAGCAGTAATTATATTTAAGAGACACGCTACCATATGTTGGGAAATGTCCCATAGTAAAGGACCTAGCGCTCAAGTGCTAATTTCTGATGTAACTAACAGAATTATTTATTATCTTTATTCCTCATTACACAGAAAGAGTTGGTCCCTAAGGAAATGGTTATCTTCATCATTCCTGCTGCAACAATGAAGATAGCAAAAAAATTGGAAGTCATGCTCTGTGCATACATTCAGTGAATGGATCTGGCACATTTGTTAGCAGAAAAACTGACAAAGTTGTGCAATTATAATAATTATAATAATAATTTGTTGTTTGTACTCCGCCCATCTGACTGGATTGCCCCAGCCACTCTAGGTGGCTTCCAGCATATATAAAGATATAGTAAAACATTAGAACAGGGAATCCAACATGGTGACTTTCATCTGTTATTGGGCTCCAGATTCCATCATTCCTGACCATTGGCCTTGGTCCAACAATATCTGAGAGCACTGTGTTGGATCCCACTGGATTAGAGGAATAGCCAAGCAGGACACTTTTTTAGACATATGGTTTCCATCTCGTATATAAATGAAAATGCCACCACACTCCAACCACTGGCTTTGGAAGCTTCCTTCTCAACTGACATGTTTATTTTATGGAGGCCAACAACTTCAGAACACTAAACTGAATTAATAGCTGGACTAGCAAGTATACTGAGATTCTAAGAGGACTTTGGATATTTTGATAATTGGTACAAGTAACACATAAGTTGTTTTATGTTTGTGTGTTCATCCACAAAATGCAATATATATATATAAGGAATAGTTACTTATGCCTGTTCCAACTTGGTTAGTCAAAATAAATATCATAACATAAACCCATAATTAGTAAGACTGGAAGCAGAATATGAAGGCTTTGTTCAGTGAATTAATTATCCCTTACAATCTGGGACTATTTCCAAGACTAGCCTACTACTAAAGTAAGATTGCAATCATTACCTGGGAGTAGGAACACTGAACTCAATGGGCTATACTTCTTAGCAGGCATCTGTAAGATTGCACAGTGATGCAATGTACAGATATCTGTACATTGGAGCCAAATCTTCAAAGTGACTCATATGAGTCACAGTGCCCACAAGAATCACTAGAAGTGGTGCTATGAGCTGGACTTCATGAACCCTGGATGCAATTTTCAAGACAACATCAGAATTACAGTTTCTAAACGCTCTTCCTAAAGTAAGCCAACATGCAGTAGCACAAGATTGCTTTTTTCCATGCTTCGTTCCAAAAGGAAACCCTTTTCTAATAAGGCTGGCCCAAAAGGCTTAAGCATAGCAGGATCCTCGTTCATATTTTCAGCAGAGTCATTCTTCATAAACATATAAACCTTTAATCATCTTTGCTGTTGGCAAGACATCTGTTGGAGGTTTTGGAAACCTGAGTATGAAAAACCTCGTAATTATACGGTATTTGTTAACTGAAAGTGAGAAATAAAAACCAGCACATTATTTGAAACCTCTGATAATAAATGGAACTTGGCTAGAAAAGAAATGGAAGCCGAGCCCTTTCGATGGCCTCCTTTGTGCATGACCATCATCAACCAAAGAACTGACTCCGTTGTTCTAATCCTTTTCCTGAAGGATCAGAATTCAAAACTATTTTTATGATTTAAGCAGAGAAAGCAGCATTGTGTTGTCTAAATCAAACACAGTCTTGGCAATGGAACGAAAGGCTGGCTGCATAGACATTCACCCTGACCTTTTAAATTCACATAACTGTCCACCCATTGAGGTGGGTTCTGAATATGATTGGATCCAATCTTCATAATAAAAAAGGAATAAGGCAGAATAGCTACAGGGCTTTTGGGCATGGCACTTTGAGAGCCACCCCCCCTCCAAAAAAAGAGCCTGGAAGAGGTAGGACATAAAAAACTGAGAATTCTCGCTGCAGTGGATCTTCTTGAATACTCTGCAAATTGGAAAGGGTTTCACTGGCAGATGGTGGGCCCTCTACTGGCCTTGGTGCTCTGACAATTGACTAACTTTGCCATCCTCTGACCCTAGCCCTGAGCCAGAATTCTTTACAGTTTCATCATCCTCGACAGTTACTGATTTAATTAGCGTCTTCATCAGAATCAACTCAGGGTATGGAGAACATTATAATATGAATGCAAGGTGCTTGAATTCAGAGATGGAAACACAGGACCTTTGTATTAACCTAGCTCAGAGATGGCAAACCTCTGGTCCTCCAGATGTAACACCCACCAACCCAAGCCAGCATGGTCAGTGGTCAGAGATCCTTTGAGTTGTAGCTCAACAACACCTGGTAGTCTTCAAGTTCCCCATCTCTGGATTAGCTAGAACCAAGAGAATGTTCTAACAAATAAGACAAAACATTTTGCCACCTGCACATGTCTGAAAACAAATGACAGGACTTTCAAGTTCACTCTTTTACTGGAAATTACAGCAAAGCCTTTTCTGACTGCTTAAAGCTTGGTTCTCTTGAGACCTATATCTTCAGAAACAACAGTATTCAAATTCCAATGCAGCCTGATCAAACAACATAAGAAATGTCTTCTCGTTGGTTTATTATGTGTTTCTCTTTTATATAAAGCAAGTGCTAACACAAGAGTTTGTTGTATGTCCTTAACTCAATCCATTTTCTTTCCATGATCAAACACAAGTAAAGAAGCCCAGGCACAGTAAGTAAACCATTATGTTGTTTTTCCAGAGGAACATGAACGGAGCAAGGCACACACATGCACTCATTTCGCAGCTACAAGAGGAGTGTCATTGATTTCAATGAGATAAATCACACACAGAAAGCATTTTAAACATCAAAAACTCTTTCCACCACCCTCAAAACAGAATCTGGAGTAGTCTTATGACAGACCTATATTTCTTTGTCATAATTAGAAACACAACAAACCATCTGATGTATCAGTGACCTATTTGAAGAAAGGGTTCCGAAAATAAAGCAAAAATATTGTCACTGACACTTTAAGTACTTTATGTACATCTATTTCTAAATAAATTCCATTAATCCATGGGAGCATATGTATGAGACTGAAGCCTAAGGAGTACTCCTAGATCCATCAGTACTGGGAGTTGGGCTGAATCCTGGCATCAGTGGTTAAGAGCAGTGGACTCGTAATCTGGTGAACCAGGTTCGCTTCCCTGCTCTTCCACATGCAGCTGCTGCGTGACCTTGGGCTAGTCACACTTCTTTGAAGTCTCTCAGCCCCACTCACCTCACAGAGTGTTTGTTGTGGGGGAGGAAGGGAAAGGAGAATGTTAGCCGCTTTGAGACTCCTTAGGGTAGTGATAAAGCAGGATATCAAATTCAAACTCTTCTTCTTCTCTTTTTCAGCACTAGGACCATAACACCAAATCCTTAGCTTCATTGATCCAACACAAGAAGGCTTAGTATTTGATTATTAATATGGAACAGTACCCTTCTGGCCATGTTTTGTTTTAAATTGTTGGAACTTCAAGATTTCTTTTAATGTAAGCAAGCAGTACAGAACAATTATTTAATAAATGAATAAAGCCTGAATTCTTTTCTTTCATTCCTCTGAGTCCTTTTCAAGTGTTCAATATCTTTTGAAAAATGAAATGGCCATGCATAGGATAAAGTATTATCATAATCTGCTCGCCAATTAGATGCAAAGATTCATGGACCAATGAAACAAAGCACCAGCGCAAAACCAACAAACAGCTGTCATGTCAAGCTGTGATTTAGCATCACCCAGACAACTCTGATCTGTGCTCCCGTCCCCCCTCTCCATTGCCACAACATGCAACAACCTCTTGAGAGCCAGCGTGGTGTAGTGGTTAAGAGCAGTAGACTTGTAATCTGGGGAACTGGGTTCACGTCTTCTCCTCCACATGCAGCTGCTGGGTGACCTTGGGCTAGTCACACTTCTTTGAAGTCTCTCAGCCCCACTCACCTCACAGAGTGTTTGTTGTGGGGGAGGAAGGGAAAGGAGAATGTTAGCCACTTTGAGACTCCTTAAAGGGAGTGAAAGGCAGGATATCAAATCCAAACTCCTCTTCTTCTTCGTCTTCTTCTTCTTCTTCTTCTTCTTCTTCGTTAGATGAATTTGAAAAGTAGGATAGGTCTATCTACGGCAAATATCAATGGAAGTTAAGGGTAGAACCTCTAATTTTTACCTCTGCATCCCAACCACCGCCAGCAGTTAGGAGCACTAGTTAGACCAACTTCAAAGCAGGTAAAACTTTTGTCACCATCTTCCTGTTTTGCCTTGAAGGATTATTCTACAAGCTCGGTGCCACAACAGAAAAGGCTGCCAGGTGGACTGGCAGGTGAACTTCTACAAGTTTTGGCATAAACAGAAGGGCCTCATACTGGGATCTCAAAAACTTGACAGGTCTATTGGGGAGAGACATTTCTTCTGGGAACTTGATCCAAGTTTGTTAGGGCTTTGTAAATCAGCAGCAGAACCTTAAATGTGGGTTGATAGCAACTGGCCGCTGTTACTGTTCTTCAAGCAATGGTGTCACCTATTCAGGGCAGACTATTCCAGTTTGTAGTGGAACTACTGCACTTTGCACACACTGCAGCTTGTTGTTAAGGAAAAGTTAGCAGACATAGAATCATAGAATAGTAGAGTTCGAAGGGACTTTGATGATCATCTAGTCCAATGCAGGAATATGCAGCAATGTGCAGCTGTCCCATATGGGGACCGAACTCACAACCTTGGTGTTATCAGCACCGTGCTCTAACTAACTGAGCTATCCAGGCTCTTCTGTGTACTTCTATGGATTGGGGTCAGAATATAATGCAAGATGTGGAGTAATACAAAGAAATATAAAGGCATAAGAGAAGATGCTGTTCTTGAAAAGCTTCAGGGGCTGAAGTTGTGAAACCAAAGGGAGTCTGTTGACTGAGATAGATGTAGAGGGTATATAATGACGTTCCAATTTGTTTAGGAAAAGAAAGGACCTGAGTCTTTCCTTTTGTGCCAAGAGTACACGTAGCAAGGGGAGAAAAGCATGAGATTATACAGCTTAAAAAAATTGAAACTGGAGGATTATTATGAAAAGAAACATAAAATGCAATTTATGGGAAGTTACGAGGCTCATCTCAAGTCGTATTCCTCTGTGAACCAGACCATGACAACTTGTCCATTAGCCAGCATAAATAGGAAAATTGTAATAATTGTGTTTCCTTTTGCTCCTGCTGCATTGGAAAGCTTTACTTGTTTTGAATGCTCCAGACTTTGCGAATGTTCTAAAAGCGCACATAAAATGAACCCTTCACTGGCAGGGTTTGTGCATCACTGAACATTCAGCCCTGAGACCTAGACATATCCGCAAATGAACTAGGGCGTTTTAGCTTATGGGAAGGTGTAAAACCTGTAAGCTGCTATAAAAGCTATGTCCCATGAAACTGTGCTATGGCTGTATGAGAAACAACCAGGCAAACGGTGTTCCATATTCAGTCTGTTTATTTTAATCGGTTTCAAGCAGAAAACTGTATAGAATCAGAGAGACATTCAGGTTTCATTTTGTTTTATTTTTACTGCAGAAAATTTGAACAACCTGTGAGTGGTTCAGGAAAATGATTGTTGCAAGCATTTCATATTTATTATTAATACAGACCAGGGCAAGTTCTGTCATGGGCCTCGGTAGTGGGAGAGAGAGGTGGAACTAGCCAAAGAGAAAACATCGCTTTCAATAGTTCATTGATGAAAATAAGAGACATTTTGTACGGTTAGGAGCACCCTTATTCTCACAGTAAGGATCACTGTCTAAGGACCCCTTTCAAGGATTTTTCTGCATGCTGAACACTGTATTAATTTACTCTGCAACAGTCAAGCCTAGCATTGGTTATCATACATCAGAGATGTGGAAACCTGTCTAGATGTTGTTGGACTTCAGCTCCCATCAACAATAGCCAGAACAGTCAATAATATCAAATGATGAAAGCTGTAGTCCAACAACATCGGAAACAGCCACAGATTTCCTCATCCCTGCCATACCGACTAATTCAAGAGCAGCCTCACTGGCTTCAGCATGTGAAATGGCAAGCATGCACTACTTGAAGCCTTACCGTCCATAACTTTGTATTTACATGCATGCATTGCAGGGGGTTGGACTAGATGATCCTAAGGCTTCCTTCCAACTCGACAATTCTGTTTCTATGATTCTATGTGCGCGAGGACAAAAGGCCTCCAGCCCTACTCAGAGCAGTTAATGGAGAGGGTTGAAATCCTAAGCAGGACACTAATAATAATAACAATAATAATAGGCATCACACAAATCTCCTCCAGAGCAACATGGTGAAAAATGAGGGACAGTGTTTGATCAATGTCAGTGTTCTCTGATGGAGTCAGCTGATAACTCATTTCTGGATGTAATTTTCACTAATATGCATTTGTATGCACACTTGGATCCCGAACACCTTGCAACTCGAACGTTTTGGCTCCTGAACGCTGCAAACCTGAAAGTGAGTGTTCCAGTTTGCGAATGTTCTTTGGAAGCCGAATGTCCAGCATGGCTTCCGATGAGTGCAGGAAGCTCCTGCAGCCAATCAGAAGCCACGCCTTGGTTGTCAAACATTTTCAGAAGTCAAACAGACTTCTGGAACAGACTCCATTCGATAACCAAGGTACGACTGTATATACATTTTTGAACACATTAATTGGCTGGAGAATTGCATTGGAAAATTAAGAGAAGTGTGAATTTCTAAAAGTGCAAATTTGATAGGCTCTTCTTGAATTTGCACTTTTTGCACCAATGTGCAAATCAAAACACAATCATTCTTCAAAACTTGCACTTCTCCAGATTTTGCAATGCAGTTTACATAAATAAATATGGCCTATGAAGATGCATATACTAGGGTCATATGTGCATAAACATGCATATATGAACTTCACATATAAAAAAATGCATTCTATTGAGGAAAGCTTGCAAAAATGTCTATCGTAGGCAAATGTGCATACCAAAATGTGTATATTGGAAGAAATTCACACTAAAATGCTGGTGAGTTTTCAGCAGGACTTTTAAAAAAAAACAAAAAACCCATAAACATGCGTGCCACATGTCTGTTTACATGCCAGCACAGATTGCTGGAGAAAGCGGAACTTCCACTCTGTATTGCTTTTCTTTTCTTTTTCTCCGAGAAGATGGCAAGGAGAGATGCCATGTTTTCTTTGTCCTGATTTATGTATAACATATGCCTAGTTTAGTATGTGTCTACAGCCTCAAGCCTCTTCTGTTGCACAGTTTACACTGCTGAGTAAAGTGTGCTCAAGTCTGCAAGCTTGAGTCACTGATGCACGCCAGATGAATCTCCGCAGTGGCAAGGCTGAGCGGAGACGCTCTAGCTGGGGCCGAGCCAGCTGGCCTTTCAACCCCCGGTTCTGACAAAACTGATATGGAAATGTGGAGAACTGGGGGCCACTAGGGGGCGCATTGGAAGATGGCCGACAATGCCATCTCTCCGACCTACACGGGGTAATTAAGAGGCTGTTATGGGAGTAGGCAGCCTCCCTTGTTGCCCCAAGGAAATGGGGAACACTGCCCTTGCCTGCTGTGCCCATAAAACACCCCTAATTCGAAAGAAGGGGTGAGGGCCCTAGGCAGAATGCCCCCGTGTGGACATCGGCTCTCCTGGACGCTGTCTCTGATCGCGCACTAGTTGCAGCAATTTGGAATAATTAATTACAAAAGAAGCAAATGCACATATTTCAAGTGAAGAAGGGGAGTGAAGTCTGCTAATTTAAGTGACCTCTGCGAAAGAAGACGACGGGCTGGAGAAACAGGAATATTTTACGATGAAGATACACCAAAGGCGGGGTATGTTGACAACGGGGCTGAATGGGGGAAACCTTTTTGACTTTCCTTCTATGTGATTTACAAGAACCCCTCCTCATTAGAACTGTCGGTTGAACTGACCCAAGCAGGATGATTAAGGTCTGTGTGGAGATAAACTTTAACCAAAAGTATGCTTTATGGAGACCGAGAAGCAATAAGAGCTTTTGGGAATGGCGCAGCAATTAATTCGGAGTCGCCATCTTGCCAAAGGATTTATAGCCGGGAGGAAGAACGGATTTGTTTTCAGACTGCATTCCTAGTGAATCTCCTCAGAGGTTTTGAGAAAGGAGGCAGATTGGTGAAGATTAATGACGCTAAGACTGTTTTGATGTATGGAAGTGATGTTATATGGAAAACGTCTGGATATGGCTACTGGATAAAAAATAATATCCACGCAGGATTACAAACTGTTCTAACGAGCTTGTGGAGACTATCAGAGGTCACAAAGAGAAAGGAAAATATATGAAAATAACAACAAGAGATGTGGAAAAATAATAAGAAAGGACTGGATAGTACTGTGAACATCATAAGGTTAGATTTGTGGACATTAAAACAGCAGTAAGAAGCAAGAAGTTGATTGGATCCCTTCGGAACTTGAAATATGGGTACCCCCAACAAAAATTTAAAATTTGGCTGTGTAATTTGGAATTTATGTAATTTGGTTTGATTTGATGTGATTGGCCGGTTAATAAAAAAATATTCTTTTAAAAAAAAGGAAATGTGGAGAACTGAAGAGTGGGAAAATGCCAAACTGAGACAAAACAAAACTGACATTCACCCATTCCTACCCACAAGCCTCTATCTCTGACTTCCATTGCCATCTTTAGGTACATCCCCTGCAGTCTTCCTTAACAGTAGCTAACTAAGGCATATCAAGTTGTTACCATGAGATCAAGGATTTCCTCTTGCAACAAGGCTTTCATTGCTTTCAAAACACACTTGGCCTGTCTTGTGCCATTGGAGGCTATACTATTGAGTTTTCAGCAAGAGGGATCCTTGAAAGGGGAGGGCACAAGCAGGAAAATGAAGCCAGCTACTTCAAAAGCAGCACAGTATATAAGGAGTGGTTTAGGAGAGCAATAACTTTTGATTTATTTAATAGAGGCATTTGGCAAAACTTTATGATGAAGTTGCTCTTTGTTTTGGCTGTATACTATTGCCAGAGAAATAAGATTTCTCTTCCCTTTGCCCCACATGCAGTGCTCTCCCCATAGGCCCCCTTGTCCTTATAAAGTCAGGTTTCCATTTCCTTATCTCAATAGTCAAAACTTCAACTCTTTGCTTAACTGCATCCAAACCAATGTTAACATCCATGTACCAAATGATGAAAGTATATTCTGTCACTCGAAATTCATAATATTTCTTGAAGATGAGAAATGCTTGAATGGCAACTTTCCGTGAAATGAAAAATAAAAGTTTACATTCGATAAAAAAAGAGAGAGAGAACATGAGAGCACTGACATGTTGAAAAATGGTTACACTCCACATTAATTAATTCTGAAAATATAAACATTGTCCATATGTCAAAAATTAGACAATTCTAGCTAATTTGACACAGTCATTTCCAGTTTGAAGCATTCTTTTGCTTGCTCTTCTGTTCAGTGTACATTAATAAGCTGCCAGAGCAAGAGAAAAATGCCTGATGATTGCTAAAGCCAAACAACTGCTCTTTATTGGAGAGACTTCAGCATAAATTGCATGCAGCCTTGTATGCTATGAACACATCAGCTCAACTCCTGTTTCTTCACTTTTGTTTGAGCAAGCATTGTATTGTGCAAATCTGAGAATTTCACTTCTTCTGAGTTTCTCATTTTTCCAGCCTTAAGTTTAGTTCTCCAGAGTTCTACTTCAGTTTGCAATTCTTTTAAGGCTCGCTGGGTTCTGGGAGAGGGAGGGTCTGGAATGCTTTCTAATGATGTGTCGGCTGGGTGTTGTTCCAGCTCTCCCATGATTTCCCAGCTTTTCCCTTCATCTGCCTCTGAGCTGCTACCTCCCTCAAACCCCTGCTGTAAATCTATACTGTCTTCCTCTTCCTCCTCCCTGGAAGGGTCAGGATGGGGGAGGCGGTCACCACCATTCCTCCTCTGCCCAGTCCCTGACAATGCCATATACTAAATCTACCATGGCAGGTAAGGCCATGGTAGGATGGAGACTCCCTAGGCTGCTGCCCAGTGCGGCACACTCATTCTGCATCTGGGGGCAGGGCGAGCCACCCATGGGGGTGGGGCACGCTGCGTGGAGCCTCTCCGCTGCCTCCCCCTCAGCTGTAGAGTGGCTGAGGGAGAGGCAGTAGGCAGACGCAAGTCCCCCACTGGCGTTTCAGGCAGCACGGAGCCTGCAGGCACCCAAGCCACCACATCACTCCCAGGAGAGATGCATGGCTCGGGCACGCTGCAAGCCCCGTGGTAAGTGCCAGCCCCCGGGGTGTGGCGCCCAGTGCCAGCCGCGTTTTGTTACGTTTGTTGACTGAACTAAAGAGTTTTGTGAGCCCAGTTGTTAAAATTACTTTTTAAAACTCATATTTTTGTCATTTTGTCAACCCCCCCGCCCCCCGTGAGAGGAATCAGAGCTTACAGGGTTAAACAGCTCAGAGTTCCAGCGTCCTACCACCTGAGGGGCGGAGAGAGATCCTACATCCAGGATCTGTTTTCTTTGTTCTGTCTGACTTTAGGTTTTGTCTGAGACGAAGGGAGTCGTTATGTTTTTCGCTCCTGACAATGGCTGATTTGTTTTCTCTTCTGCTGTACATAATAAAGCTTCTAGATAAGAAAGAAGCCTGGCACAGACTCTGTTTTTCTGCAAGCTTGCACACTTTGCACACATAGAATGACACATGCTGTGTTTTACTGCCTGCTGGACCTACACCCTGAGCAAAACTCCACACCCCCTCAATGATGACACCTGGGGCAGTCTGCACCCCCTTCCTCTGCCACTGTCCCTAGGTGGCATCTTTTCAAGAGACCTAAAAAAACCCTGGAAAGATATTCTGCCTACTAGCAGACTTCTCAATACATACTTCAGCAAACTCCACTGAGGCTGTGCGCTCACCATACATTTAAAGCTCATTGCTCCCCCCCCCAAAAAAACCCCCCATGAACTGCAGTTTGCCTCCCCCACAGAGCTACAACTCCCATCACCCTTAACAAACTACAGTACCCAGGATTCTTTGGGAAAGACATGTGCTTTGATTGCATGGTTTGTTTGCAGCCTGATAAGGCTGATTCAAAAAAGAAGGCATCCTCTTACATGAAAATGGTCTGAAATAAAGCATAAGCATTGCCCTGCCATGCATTGTTTAAACATTGTTCATTTTTATTTTACTCTTTACTTCAAATAATGGACATAGTAAATGAACTTTTTTAACAATTTCCCTATTTCATTTTTGTTATTAAAGTAAAGATATAGCATATAAAATAAACAAGTACTCTTGGTATTAATGAACCTAGCAGATCCTAAGATTGTACATTATCCTGAATTTTGTTAATTCAATACCAACCCCCTCCATTTCTGTATAACAAAGTTGTGTTTAAAAGTTTAAAACATGTTTATTGATTAATTTTCTTGTTAAAACAAGCAAAAAAGAGGGGCAGAGTTGCATCTACCAACATTCTGCATTAGAACAAGAACAAATGAAAGAGTCTTTTCTAAGCAGGGAAAACAGACGTATTTCCCTTAAGAAACAAAATAAAGCCAACTGGCATTTGCAACTCTCTCTCTCTCTCTCTCTCTCTCTCTCTCTCTGTGTGTGTGTGTGTGTGTGTGACTACTGAATGTGGCAAGTTGAGGGAAACCTACAGGCAATATATTTAACTATCCTCATCGAAGATGCAATGAGGAGATATCTCAGTCTTGTGAGGAAATAAAGCAAGGCAGACTGGACAGACAAACAGGGCAGCTATTCAACTATGTTTAGGCTGCGTTTAGGAGCACAAAACCCACCAGGGCATGCAGGCATGACCATTTTTTACTACTGTGGGTGCTGCTAATGAAATCGAATATGCATCTGGCAGGTGGATAGTTAGGCTTCTGGAGGCAAATAATGTTTCCTCTGGAAAATACTGAATAATTACATGATGAACAATTACGGTAGCTATTATCTGGAGTAATTGCTCTGCAAATTGGTAACTGGTGGCAGCATGTGTCTAGGGACAAAGCTGTTTCCACACTGAGGCTACATAGACACCATATATTTAAAGTATACCTTCAGCTAAGAATCCCAGGAACTGTAGTTTGCCCACCACAGAGCTATGATTCTCAGCACCCGTAACAAACCAGAGTTTTCAGGATTTGTGTGTGTGCGTGTGCGCACTTTAAATGTCTGGTGTGTGTATGCAGCTTAGGTCTGCAGTCCTGACTCCAATTTACCTCGGAGTAAGCCAAACTGAATTCAGTAGGCCTCATTTCTGAGGAAACATGGTTGTTGATTGTACTGGTAAATTGCTGGATTTCTTTGTTGCTATCATTCCATTATATGTATTGAATGAGTGTTGCAACTCTTGTTTTACCTATCTAGTTTTTGAGGGACAGGATGAAATGTTGCAACAAAAACCTACATAGTTTTTAGTGTCCTTCATATTGGAGGATACTAAATTCATTTCAGAGTAGCCGACACAGTGCCCTCCAGAAGTTGCTGGACTTCCACCAATCTCAGCCAACATGACCATTGATGAGGGATGATGTGCCTGCATTTTAATCTGTTTTATTGGTCTACTCTCATGACTGAGGCAGCAACAAAAAGAGATTCACCAAATTCACTTCAATGGACATGCTGTTGTGACAATCCATTGGTATTAGGAAGTGCACAGACATCCTGCTGACCCTCAAAGGGGTCACATCTTTTTTCGTATTCATCTTGAACATTTGCAAAAGGTGCAAGCTTTTTGCAAGTGTTTGATTCTGATGTTCACAAAAAGCAATGAGGGCACTAGCACAGCATCATCTCCCACTTCCCAGTCCCCAAATCTTCACAGGGATCCCTCCAGCCTCTGGAGCAGATTTTAAGACTATGTGGAGGCTACAGGAGAGAGGGGGTGAATTATATTGCCCAAGTGGAAGTCTGTTGCAAAAACATTGGATACAACCCCTAGTTTCTGGTGAGTGCAGAAAATATTCAGATCCTAGTTTGGTGACAAGTCACACAAAAATATTTTTAAGAAGGTGTCAGTTTGGATGTAATAAGGAATCATGATTTGATGTTACATTTGAATCATTCCATTAATTTATAATTCAAATAAATGTGTGGATTTGAATGCCTATACATTCCAGTTTTTTGTTTTCTGCTATCATTGATTATAAAACAACCAGTTTACATTAAACTAAGTACCAAGCTAAGTATCCAAACAAAACTGCTGGTTGGATAATCTGTTGTGTTGAAAAATAGATTCAGCAAATACTTGTAACAAAGGCAGCTGATCTGAAAACCAATTATTCTGGATTAGCCCCAA